CAGATGTTGCGAAGGCCAGGGGCGGATCCAGCTGCCAGCAGTACTGTGCGTGCTGGGGTTGCACTGGGGGGATTTGTGCTCCTGAGCAGGATGAGTTTTCTTCAGAGGAATTACTAATGTAGATGTACAAGGTAACTATCCAGAGGAAATCACTGCGCTGGGCATGGGTGGACCGTTTACAACAAAACCATTTTGGGTGTTATTAGCAGAGACCGGCTCACCTTCACATAATGCCTCAGAGGATAAACGAGCACTGCAATTGGAGAACTATGGAAAACTTGAATGATAGGATTATTTATCTGAAAGCTGGTCTCGTAATACCTTAACAATAAGAATAGAAGCTCCATGTTTGTGTATCTGGTATGCTAATTTACAAAACTCAAGCTAGTTAAATAGTAACGTAGTCAAAGGTAGCTTTTTCTGCTTTTATTTTTGGCCTGTATTTTTACTTACACTGTTTTACCTGGTCATGACTAAATCATGTTTAAAATGGAAGTAGTCACTTCAGCAATAGCAAATTGTGTTTAAAAATTGACTTAGTCATCTTAGTAATAGGAAATTCTTCATAGCTATTTTTAAAAAAAATCCTTAGGTGGATGTTATGATTTGTATTTAAGTCATTCTATTTGCGATGAGTAAGCAACACCAGTGTCTGGTCACTGAAATCTCTGTTTAGTTCTAGCGGGATGTAGCAGCTCAGCAGCCATGAAGGATCCCTCTGTAGCTCTAGAATGACTAGCACTGCTGTGGCCTTTAAGCATCTGGGGACCTCAAAGACTTTGGGGATAATAGCATATCCCTTTCTAAATGGATCTGTTAGAGGTGTATAATGGTTGCAACTAACATAATCAGCAAAGTGGAGTTTGCACGTACTTGTCACAGTTGGATGTGACTCTGAATTAAGCCCACTTGTAACATGGGAGGAGGGGGGAGAGGAGAAAAGGGGTGGTTTTCCTGGACAAAAGTGTATTATTATAATCTGTTACATACTTGTTGAGGGAGTTTCCTTTTGGAAAAAGAAAAATGCTACAAGAGAGCGCTATAGTGGCTCAATCTGAAGATGGAGTTGCATATGAGAGGGTTAATTTTCCTCTTGGTCATAGTTGTTCAGAGCTTCTTTTTTCTTTTTAGTTTAAACTCATATCCCAGGCATATGAAGTTCTGTCGGACCCAAAGAAAAGGGACCTCTATGACCAGGGTGGGGAGCAGGCTATTAAAGAAGGAGGCCTGAGTGGCGGCAGCTTCTCTTCACCCATGGACATCTTTGACATGTTCTTTGGTGGTGGAGGCCGAATGAATAGAGAGAGAAGAGGTACACAGTTCTAAACAAGTTATAGAAACTCTAACCATGCACTTAAGCATAAAACACCCGTGCTATGGTACTGCTGTTCTGCTAAGTGCACGTAGTGTGGATATTACTTGTTGCAACAATAGATAAGTATACTATGATACTTTTTTTTTTAGTTTGTCTAGTATTAAGATTCTAATGAAGTAGATAACATGATGTAGCCATAGCCACCTTTCTGATGAGTTGTGTTTATTTTTTGTTAAAGCGGGTGTGGGTAACCTGTAGGGGAGGGGGAAACCTTGGTAGGTTAGAACAGCTGAATTAGACCTCTTAAGTTACCATTTTCCCAGATCTGTGCCTCACTTCCTCATAAGCTTTGGGCAACTTGCTTCAAAGGACACCATCAACTTAAACTTCAGTAATGCTAAATCTCATGAAAATATTTGGGAGAAATTACGTGAAACGGAGTACAGAGTGCTGCCAAAAGCACAGTATGATTTTGGTTTTGTTTTTTTTCCATGCCCAATGTCTGTTAAAGGAGCAAGTAAAATCTTTGAAATTATGCTATGAAGCGGCATGGAAATTTATAGGTAGGCATAATAGCAATTTCTAAATTGAGTAGATCTGAAGCTGGTAGTGTCCTTGCATTTTGCTGTTTCAGTTACAAGCTTATAAAATTAGTGGTAGGAGCAGGGATAGGGTGGCTTTAATGATGCTTTGCTTAATTATAGCTAAACTTTATGTTCTGACATAAGTGAGTGCAGCTCAGTGGAAGCTGATGGAACTGCACATGCTTTTAAGGGGGCTGAGCTGTGTTCAAAGTTTGGAATGAACTTTGCATTTCTTCAGTGAGACTGTGCATGTATGAACAAGTGTAGAAGGCTTTAAATAAATATTTGTCCTTACAGCTGAACCAAAATTAATGTTGCTTTTTTTTTTTAAGGCAAAAATGTTGTCCACCAGTTAGGTGTATCTCTTGAAGACTTATATAATGGTATTACACGGAAACTGGCACTGCAAAAGAATGTTATTTGTGGAAAGTGTGAAGGTAAAAAAAAACAAGTAGTGGTTTTGGACCCCTGTTATCCAAGTTTTTTGTGGGGGTTTTTCTTTTTTTTTCTTTTTTTTTCTTTTTTTTTTTTAACGGGGAGGGGCTGGGCATGAAGTGTGGGGTTGTTTGGGTTTTTTTTTTTTCTCCTTTTTCTTGCCCCCTGAAGGTCTGCCAGGATATCTCATTTGGGCTTATTTATGCTTATGCATGAATAAGGCTCCCCTAAACACAGTGGAACAGAATTACTGTTCTAATGGCAGACTTAAATTCACAGGCACCTAAATTAAAAGTATCTTAATCTGGAACTTTAATAAATAGCTGTTTAGTTAAACTTTTTTTAATTGCTGTGAGTAGAAGTCTAGCTTGTATTACACAGCTCCATTTTACAGCTATTAAGTATCCATAATGACTGGTCATCTTTGAGGTAAATCTTAATGAGGTCTTGTATCTTAGTTCTCTATTAAATATTTAGCAAGCAGATTCTTTCCAAAGTATTAATGGAATGTCTAGGTCTTGAAGTTGGTATGCTGGTAGTTCCTTGAAAACCAAGAGGTATTGGGAGGTGGGGCAGAGCCTAGTGAAATAAGCTGTGCATAGAAAACTTGACTGACTTGTGTTTGTAGAAACTTCTAACTTGCAGGGCATGTTTTGTGATGGAAACTAAATTCCAATTACATTGGAAATACATTACTGAACTACTCTAAGTTGCCATAAAGGTGCTCTTGAAGTCAGTACATTCCAGCCTGACTACTGTAGAATAATTGAATAACTTCTTTTTGAGACTGAGATCAGATTTAACTCTTTTTTTTGTCAAAGGTTATGGTGGAAAGAGAGGGGCAATAGAAAAGTGCCCTGTGTGTAAAGGAAGAGGAATGCAAGTTCTAGTTCAGCAGATTGGACCTGGCATGGTACAACAAATCCAAACTGTGTGTCCAGAATGCAAAGGCCAAGGTGAAAGAATAAATCCAAAGGACAGGTGTGACAACTGCAATGGCTGTAAGGTTGTAAGAGAGAAAAAGATCATAGAAGTTCATGTTGATAAAGGTAAGAAATGTGTATTTGTTCTGTGTCCCTAATCATAGTCTATAGTTTTGCAGAGAATGAATGGGTTTCTTTTCTCCAGGTATGAAAGATGGCCAGAAGATAGTATTTCATGGAGAAGGTGACCAGGAGCCTGATCTAGAGCCTGGCGATGTTATAATTGTCCTTGATCAAAAGGATCACAGTGTCTTTCAGAGGCGAGGCCATGACTTGATCACAAAAATGAGAATTCAACTCTCAGAGGCTTTATGTGGTTTCAGAAAGACCATTGAAACTCTGGATAACAGAGTTCTCGTCATATCATCTAGGCCAGGTGGGTCTTTAAGAGGTTCTGGTGCTATATAAACTGCTTGCCTGTTTCACTGTGCCTGGACAGTTTTTAGTTGGCTGTTTCTGGTTTTTTAATCAGTTGATGCAGCACATCTGAACTACACTTGCAGTCATTTAATTTAGTTGGGGTTTTGTCATTCTTGTCACTCCTTCTAAAGTATTACATGCAGAATTACAACTAAAGCTGTCAAATGCTTATTAAGAAACTTCGGTCTTGGTGGATAGCCAGGAAAATACTCAAAAGATACCAAAAACTTAAATGCTACTAGATGACCTGTCAATTCAGCCTGCAGGCTGTGCTAAAAGAAGCTGATTCTCTTAGAGTAAATGGCCTTCTGTATAGCTTGGGTTTAGTACTTGTCAGTCTGTGGCCTTTTTTGTGAGTTGTGTAGTAGTCTCCCTCAGGTCCTGTGGGAACACTGCTTGTGTATAGCCCTGCTTTTCACTGTTGTGAAATGTCTGTGACGCAAGCTTACTTACAGCTCTTGCCTCCGTGTAGGTGAAGTGATAAAACATGGTGACCTAAAGTGTATCTGCAATGAAGGGATGCCTATCTACAAATCTCCAATGGACAAAGGCAGCTTAATTATCCAGTTTTTGGTAAGTTGACTGCTTGCTTTTCCATAGCAAAAATAACCTGTGTTGGCATGGGGAGTAACTATTCATTAAAAAAAATAATTGTAGGTCCAGTTCCCAGAGCACTACTGGCTCCCCAGGGAGAAACTGTGTCTGCTGGAGGATCTGCTTCCTCCCCGAGAAGATGTTATGATTACAGATGAGATGGATCAGGTAGACCTTGAAGATTTTGATCCAAGTGAGCAAACCTACCGTAACAGTGCGGGAGAAGCATATGAAGAAGATGAGGAGGGTCCAAGAACAGGAGTACAATGTCAGACATCTTAAAGCAAGGTGGAAATGGGTGTCATCTAAAATGTAAATTTTCACAATGAAAACTGCATGGCTGTAATAGCCACTGCTTGTGGGTTTTGTGTTCAGCAAATTGAGTTGCTGCGCTGCCAGTATCACCTTTTTGTAACTAATTTATATTGTGTTCTTGTAGTCTTTATATATAAAAGCAAATGTCACACAGCTGAGAACCAACTGAGTTGGTATACATTTTCCTTTGCTGTGAAGGTTCTCAATTTATTTCACCTATGCTATTTATATAAGACTTCAGCAATATTGATAGAGGCTAAGTGGAGTGTCTTATGTAAATACTTTCATACTGGAAAATTAATTTCATAGAATAAAACATAGCAGAAATAACTTCTAATAAATAGAACTCTTCACATTTTATGCTTCTCTTGTACTTTCTAAACCTCTCCAGAACCCCTTGAATTCAAGTAAGTTTCTCTTAGCTCAGACTCCTATCACCTACTCTCGATTGTTCTCCACGTTTGACTTGGTGTTAGCTGCAATACTTAGATCTGTCTCATTCTGTATTTCGAAAGCATTTTGTGTATACCTCACTCTGCATAATAACACTGTTCCCTGTGGCCTTCTGTTGTATTTGAGTTACATTCCTTCAGCCGCTTTGTTCTATGTAAGTGTAACTTGGGGTTATAAGGGATCCTTCTAATATGATAAGTACACAAGGTACACTGTAGTTTACATACAGGCAAATAATTCCAAACAAATAGAGCTTGAGCTCTGTCTTTCAGCCTTCCCTGGAAAGGGTTCTTACTTTCTCCTAGGCACTGTGTACTTGAGCCTCAACTGAGAGGAAGAAACCAAAACCACTGCTGCTGTTTTATACTATGACAAGATTGCATAGTAGAATGCCCACATGAAAGCTTTTTTCCTATCTGTTTTCTAGTAGAGTTTGTAGTTGAGTCAGGGTTGGAAACAACTGGCCCCCTTTCAGTGAAATTAAACCATGATGAATGAGCTACATGTCAGCATGCAATTGCCAGAACAGGTGTTCAGCTGAAGGGACCCTACTGCACTCCCTGGGACAACACCAAGATGAGCGCAGGCTATCATTTCCCACCCATACAACACATAGCCTCAGTCACTTTTCCTTTTCCAAAAATAAGCTGCTGCCAGACTTGGCCAAAACGTTCCAGCTCCGTTCTATTTTTGTATAAAGGCAGGGGAGATTAACTGAGCAGTTACTTCACCCATGACTACATATTGCCAAAAATACATTTTTTTCCAAGGATTAGAGTTAAGTTACTTCCAGCTCCAGCTTTTATTTTAAAAAAAGTAAAGCTTTCTGTCATGTTAAACAAAATGAAAATTACAGATAAACATCTGATTTGGCAGATCAGCGCTATTACAATGCTTTTATCATTAGAAAAATTGTAGAAGCACGGTAGTATTCCCAAAAAGTGGCAGAAGAGTTAACCAAAGGGTCTGAGTCAAGACATTTAAACTGGACAGTCATAAATATGAATTTCTTGGTCATCTCCAACAGATACAATTTTGGACCCGCTTCCATTGTATTTCACTCCCCAAACCTGCAATTAGAACGTACAAAAGGTTATCAACAGGAGACTAAGAAGACATGCCTTCACAGCGGTCATCATATTGACTACAACAAGCAGAAGAGGGAGGATTATTTAATTTCACTTTACTAGAGCTGGCTCCTGCTTTAACAGCAGATGAGGTGGAGAAACCAGAGAAAGATGCTGCCAGCTTGTAGCCTGAGAAGTCCTTACGTTCCACTTTACTGACAATGGATTGCACGTTCTCAGTATACTTGGAAGAGGCTGAAAAGTACTTGCCCCAGTTTGCATAAATCAAACCTAACATTTTTGATCTTCCCCATCCTGTATTCCTTTTAGAAGAGAGTATTTTACAGTGTTTTCAGGAAAGCAAGAGAGTAAGTATTTTTCATGGAGCCTGGCACATTATGACAGACTGAAAAATAATCCAGTCTGTCCTTGGGCTAATTAAGAGAGCCATTTTACTTCCCAGCACAAAACTTAGAAAAATTCAGGTCAGTCCTCAGACTTAAACTTCAGACAGTTACACAAACTCTTAAGTGACCCCCTTCATCATCAGCATGACATCAGGAAAAGTGAAAGTAAGGCAGCAGTACACATACCTGATCTTGGTGGTCAAAGAAAGTGTGAACACAAGTTCTTGTCCCAGCATCCCAAACTTTTACGCTTTTATCAGATGAACTGGAAGAAAAATAGTATTGATCAGTGTTTAAATTAATAGATTAACTATAGTTTAGCACAAAGCTTAAAAGATCTTGTACGCTAAGACATAAGAAACCTGCTTTCACCCATCAAATACAGAGATAAAGTAACAAAGGAGTGCATCTTCCACCAGGTTCCAGTTACCCTTAAAATACATTTACTGTTTCAATATCTATCTGCAACATGAAAAAGAGGACTCCTGGTTTAGCCGGAAAATTATCTAAAGTTCAGTTCTTTGGATAAAGAAACTCCTGTTACATACACTGGGTCCCCAGTTGCCTGAGCTGTTTTAAGTGTTAACACTAAAGTCCAACTAGATTAATGTACTTGTACATTAGGTTGTATTTTTTTAATTCAACAGCAATTTTTCAGCTCTTTAGAATCAAACTGCCCTTCTCTTAAGTTTAGATGTTCTTCACTTGTAGGGAACTAAACTGCAGTGAGATGACTTACACTGTAAAGTACTACTTACTGCAACTGGTATCATCACAGATTGGCTCTTGAGTCTTTAATTGTAATGTATGTTACTCCATTATAAACGCCATTGTAATTTGTACACAGACACTTTTTAAGAGCCCTCTCCCTTTATAAGTATCAAATTATATGTTTTTTTTCAGTAAGCATTAAAAAGGTTAAAAATCCGCAATACCTGGAAACAAAATGGGTATCATCAGGGCAAAATGCTACATTTAATACCCAGGATCCGTGACCACTTAATGTGCCAGCCAAGTTTGCATGTTGCCTGGGGAAAGAACAAATTTTAGAAAAGATAGAATTTTAACACTTGGTTTGTGAATTCTAGGGGAAAAAGCAACAGTAATATACTCTAGCTAGTGCAGTCAGGAACGGTTCAATGCAAGGTAATGGAAGGTGACTTCTGGACATTTGTTCATCAAGCTGAAGTGGTGTTACATCAGTTCTGCCATTTCAAATGGTTAACATAAAAAGAAGTCACTAAGAAGATCCACTGGTGGACAAAAGAGTTTCACCATGAAGGCGGCAAAGTAATGCAGGTTTAGGGGAGTGGAGATCACTGACGCGGTGCCTTTTCCTCCTCAGGGTCTTCCAAGTTTTTGTACAATGCAACAGGTCATAAATATAATTTTTTGGGTACAGATGTTTTTAAGATGAGTAAACGCAAACACACAGGACAGATACACAAAACAATTAGCCTCTTGCCTACAAGGCCAAATATGAGCAAAGTAATTTGTTAAGGCTGTCATCCACCTATGCACTTTTAAAAAACTATCTGAGGGTGTAGTACTTTACTTTATTATTTAAGATTATTTATTACATAAGAAGTCACCAAAAGCTGAAGGGAATGATAGAGAGCAGAGGGTTTGATACATTTTTTAGTGTCAGCCTCTGAATAGTTACTTTCCTGTTAGCATGTCTTGCAAAATAACAACTTACACATCGTAGATTTTGATATAGCCGTCATCTGAAGCAGTTACAAGTAACTGAGAATCTGGAGAAAATGTCAGTGAACGAATGGGCATTGCATGACCTGAAATTCAAAGTTATATATGGCTTAGAATGTAGCTATTCCTCGTACTGATGACAGTGCTTGAGAAGCTACACCAGAACAGCATCCCCTGTTAAAAGAGCAGCTTCTGAAGAGTCTACACCTCTACAGGCTTCTTTGCAAAACATCAAATGCAAACTAACAGTAATTCTGATCTTTGAATGTTAAGGCACATCCACTCCCACACAACAGTATCTTATTTTCTCAGCTGTGGATCTCTACTAGAAATTACATCATATTTTCTAACAGGATTTCATACTGGTTTAAGTGGTTGGGGTTCTTTATTAACTACACAAGTGGACAGAAACAGCACAGACATTAACAGCCCATTTATCTCTTAGAAAAATGCACGTCTTCAACATAAAATGTTTAGTTATTTTCTAAAACAGGAATAAATCGCTATAAAACTAACGCCACAGCAAAAAGCCATACACATGGCAGCACACATTTGGCTTAGCTTCATTCCCTTGTACTGCACTGCAAGACAAGAAGGAACTGCAATTTAAGAATTTAGTTAAGCAATACTAACTATCTTTTGAGATACGGATTTATGATGCAAGCCTGAGTTTACAGTTTGCCGTTTAAGTTACAGCACATTAAAAAACTAAATACTGTCTAATGGACAGAAACATCAACACATTTATGCCACGGCTACTGTGTCTTATTCTGGCTTGTGTTATATCCTTTAATTTTGTTGAGGAATGAAGCCGGAACTTGGGTATTGCAAATACACAAACCATTACCTTCTAGCGTATGCAGAAGTTTTCCGGTTGCAATATCAAAAATATTGATAATGCCATCTATGGCTCCACTGGCTAAGTATTTTCCATCCGGACTCTGTAATAAAACACAAAAAGTATGCATTTAACAACTGTATGCGTTACGCTGTGTACCTCCCTGACATTCTCTTGGCAACTTGTCACAAATATGATCTGTGCAAGATACCCGGGCTCCAAAAATCCCGAAGCCTTCAGCTGACTTATTCACAACATGTGGATAAGCAAGATCAAGGTATATTTTCCCTATATGCAGGGGGGAAATGTCACATAGTTTATATTTGGAACTATCAGAGTATAGCTGTCATTTAGTATTACGTAGAGATAAACTGATAGATGGAAACATAAATACCTGATTTACAACACATTACAGCAATAGCAGTTTCACGTAAGAAATTATCAATTGTGCTTCTTACATATGCAATGCTAAGGATGAACTTTCCTCTGGTGTCCAGAGAATATTCTTTCTTTCCGGTTTCAACACCAAAAATATTTACTTTTCCCACATGACTTCCTGTTGCAAGGTACTGGGAATCAGGTGAAAACGCCAGGGACCAAGCATCAACTGTATTAAAAATTAAAAATCAGTTAGCTGAACACTGTTTCTAGTTCTTATTCAACAACATCAGCTGTGTATCCACCTGTTTAGAAATTTAACCCCTACGTACTCTTAATACTCTAAACTCTACTACATACTCTTAAGAAGAGTGTACAAGCTCATGAAAGTTAACTTCCTTCTACGTAATCAATGGAGCATAGCTTGAGCCATTTCTTTCTGTTTAGTGAAAAATTACATTTTCTAATAAAACCTTGAGCTTATCAGACCATCCTGTCACAGTAAATTTAGAATTTAAGACTGCCTGAGTCAAGTCTAAATTCTTACTTTTCTCCTGGTACCAAAAGATATTAAACCAGTAAAAGAAAGCAACAGTAGTATCTAGTAAAGCACAGAAGATGCAGGAGAAACGCAGATATACGAGTGTAACATAGGTCAACATTCCTTGCAACGGAATTTTAAAAAGCATACTTTTTAATAGCAATACAATGTAATTATCTGTCACAATGTAATTCACAGGGTTGTTTGTTTTTTTTTTTATAAGATTAATATTAATTTCCTAAAACATTGCAAGATTGTTCTTAAATGAGGGATTGCCAGTGGGCCAAGTAAATATTTAGAACAAGATCTTGGGCCCTGAATTCCAACTTGGAAGATGCAACATTGATCCAGACTTCAGCTTTATGGTGTTTTGACTTGCTCCCTACTGCGTAAATAAGCATTGCATATACGTCTCAAATTCAATGCAGCACTTACAAAGAAAGCTCAGACCTTCTTTGTAAACCAATCTGAATAAGCATTTGAGTTATTTTTAAAATATCCTTTTATCAATATATCTGTAAGAGCAAGCTGGTTTCCATTCTGCTTTATGCATCTAGCAAAAAGCGTATCTAAATGTACCTGAGAGAGCATAAGTAGTGTGAAAAAATAAATGTAATATTGTCTGATACTACTTTATGTTGAGTTCATAAGAATCAGTTAGATTTTTGCAAACACAGATTAAAAAAACCCACCCTAGTCATCTCATATACCCTAATTATACAGTGTACAGTATTTACTATCTAAAGTAAGTCCACTTCTTAGCAGAGACAGCTTAACACTGGTATCTTACCAGGACCAGCATCTATTGACTTGATCTGTTTGCCAGTTTCTAAATCCCAAAGGCGAATATGGGCATCTAGGGAGCTGGATGCTGCAATGGAGCCCGTGTGGCTGATATCCACAGATACCACGCCCAGCTGGTGACCCTCCAAAGTCCATTGTAGATCCAATTTTTCATCATTCCTGTTGTGAAAGGGAAAGAAAAGCCTCGGTATGACTAGCTGGGGGTACTTAACTCATCTCCAACCTCAGACAAAACAAACACGACAACCCACATTTCTCCATTTTGTTCAGCAAAAGGGGAATCAAACTTCACTCACGATACCTGAGGATAGCTACACACAGATTGCTCATATTGTTTTTTAAATAAAAAAGGAAGATGTCATTTCCTCTTTTACTCTATACCCATTATTTCTTTCACAGTACACGTGCTCCCAATGCATTCTCTCACAAGAAGTTGCATTTCTAATGCTTTGGTTTAGAAATACATCAAGTTGTACTATTCTCTGGCAGACGACACGTAAAATTTGATGTGCATTTTCAAAGCCATTTGTGTTCTTTGAAAACTAAAGCACCTCAGAACACTACCACTCCAAGAGAAAGCACGCACCCCCGAGGATAAGCTTGCTCAGGAGAACAGCTCCGTGTGCCAGGCCACCCCTTCCCTGATGTAACTTCTAACATCCCTGCAAATGATGGAAATTCAAGACTGCTGCGTCCCCATACTGACTACTTCCAAAGCTTAGAACTGTTTAGTAGGGAGCTTCACTTACCACTTCCAGACCTTCACTAGATCATCCAAAGAACCAGAGATCACTGTTTCAGAACCATCCTTTTTATTTTTGCCCCAGGCAACTGACCAAATGGCATCATCGTGAGCTGAAAGAGAATATAAGCGTAGAAATTAAAAATTAAGCGGTTTCTTTTGAGGGAAGACAACTACAGATTTGGTAGTGCTAAAATTGCTGACTGTAATGCTGGCAAGAGGGCCCTTGCTCTGCAGGTCTATCAGTGCTCTGAGAGCTTTGTCACTGTTTTCATTGTTTGAAAACACATGATGTATTTTGTCCACCAAGGTCACTGTTGGAAAAACAGCACAGCTATTTTTTGATTTATTCAGATTTATACTTAATAGAAGCATAATCCAGGTCATCTCACAAGTATATCTGCCATTATCAATTTGACATCATCCAAGAAGACCGATGTTATTTAATATATGTTATTGTTTTCTCACCTTGCTCTTGCTTGAAGAGAATACCATACTAGAAAGAAAAAATAATTAGTATTATGTATGAGCAGCCTAAAAAAAAAAAAAAAACCCAAAAAACAACCAACCAAGCTAGAGACTAGTTTAATTAACTCTGTGCTTTTATTTACCTGTGTGGTCATGTCTTTAAGGAAGCAACTTTAAGAGGAATGCTCTGGAAGGAGAAACCCCGTTAGGCTCAGCAATAAGGCCCTGCCTCAGAAACGCTGCTCTGGCAGGCGAAAACCCGGCAGGCAGAGGAGTAAGGCCTGAG